CCGTCTGAAGGCCAGCGGCCGACTGCCGCCCGCACCCCGCGAAGGCCCCCTCAACAGCAAAACGTTCGGAATTTATCAAAAGTAAAATTTATGAATGAAAGTAATGTTCGCTTGAAAAACGCAACGTGTCATTTAAAGATTAAAGAATTCTTAGCCTATTCGTGCAAAAATCTTAAAAATTAACATAGCCGTTTGGGAGGAGTAGGGAATTGAAGTAAAAAATCGATGTCCCGTATTTATTTTTTTAATCCACAACAAAGAGACGTAGGAAAAATTCAAACGTGTCAAATGTAGTCCTTGAACTGTTGTATAACATATATTTTTTTCAACAATTTCTGTCCAGCAGTAAAAGAGGAGTAGGCTTTACAAAATGACCATTTCACGCGGATTGAGGACACTAATCGCCTTAACAGGTCACAGTTAAGCCTAGTAACATACAATTTATGGATGCACATAACAATGTTTCATTCATCCCTTTCGCCTTGTCCGTGAGCTATTATGTAACACAGCTGTGACCTACTTTCGGGGATTTCCCGCGAATTCAACTCTGTTATATCACAATATTATCAAACTGTGCAATGCGTTAATACCTGGAACCGTTGCGAGCTGTATTGATTTCTGATGTTTTATTTAATTCTTGTGTCGACAGCAAACCTATACAGTGTCAGCCCAAAACTTCATGAAGTAAAGGTTCTTTCTAACATGTTTTGTTCGGTAGGCGGTAATCCCCCGGGTGGAGTGGGAGGTCCCGGGCCCGTGTATTCCAACGTGGGCTTCGCTGGCGGCGTGGGCACTGTGGGTGTCAACGGGATGGGTATGTAGAACTTATGTTTATAGAGTTTTACAGGGTAGCTTTTATTTAATGATGAAGATATGAGTGCGTCAAATATTTACATTGCTGCAATCCTCCTGTGGTTATTATCGTTTCGATAATGACGTTGGTTGGCAATGGATTTCCAGAGACAATTTCTCTTTGAGACTAAACTCTTGCCAAATAACATTTTGTAAAGGCGAATTGGACGTCCATTTCAATCTAGTTAATGACCCTTTATAGCTTACCTAATTAATAAATGTCTCATGCCATTTACGAGCCGAATCATAATGACTTACTAATTAGTATATTCTTAATTACAAAACTAGAAAGTACAAACTTGGCGGTTGACAATAATTTTGTCCATAATTGAATTTACCAAGTAATCTCTACTTTTAGTTTCTTTGAATGGATGACGCGCTTTTACGCCCGTATTCACAAACGATGCTTGCTTATGTGAAGCAGCAAATCGAACGCAACGTTGAATAGAGCTCTGATTGGTTCATGTCACCCTGAGCGTCCACGCGCACTGTAAGACCTCATAGTAATGTTTGTAAATACGGGCGTTAATCTACGTCATAAGCGTAACTTTTTTTTCTCTTTATTTTATTTAGGAGCTTAGATCGATACAGTCGAACATGTCAGCTCCATCATAACAAAAAACTTAGTATCTAAAGTACGGCCAACTAGCAGCGATACAAAATATCGATTCGACTGTCGAACTGACAATCTATTCTGTCTCTTCCCATCTTAAGTATTTGTCGTAATGTCTCTAAAAATATGTCATAGTCAAACCCCTGCTATTCCAAATGACCATGACATTGGGTTTGTATACATTTGGTATAGCTTCTCGTTGGCCGTACTTTAAATCAACTTAAGACTAGAAATAGCAAAGTTTATCACTACTTTGGCTGCCTCTGATGACGGCTCTGCAATGAAGTTAGAGAATATACTTCAGCATTACTTAACCCGTCACCTTCCACAGGCGGCATGGCGCCCGCCGGCGTGGGCCCGGGCCCGGCGCCGGTTTTCGGCGGGGTGGGCGGCGTGAACTGCGCGCCCTACATGTGCGGCAAGCTGCTGTGGTGCGCCGCGCAGTCGCCGCCGCCGCACGCGCCGCACCCGCCGCCGCCGCCGCCGCCGCACGGCGTCAACCCGCACGTGTTTAAGAGCGTGCAGGCTAACGGCGCTGATCTGCCCATGAATGGTGAGTACAGATTGCTATAGTCCGGTCTCAGAGCACGTAGAATTTTCGTCCAATGACCCCAAGCTACCCATCCTTATCGCTCGCGCGTAATGCGCTCGCACACTCACTGCGGGCGCCCGTCGCACAGTCGCGATAGCAATATAACACGCACGAGCGATAAGGATGGGTAGCTTGGGGTCATTGGACGAAATTCTACGTGCTCGGCGACCGGGCTTTAGTCAATTATGTTCAGGAGATCGCAACAATATGCTATTTTCGTCTAATTAATTCAGGCAATAGTCCACAGTGTTGACATCGGATTGCTGAATCGAGATGATCGAAGATTGCTGGTTCGATTTTCGTCAACCGCTGAAATATTATGGCAACACACTTCTAACACTAGCGTAATAATATTTAGCTTACTTGGAATACTTATTAAAAAAATTGTGTCTTAACGTGCGTGACTATAGACTAGAGCATTTTCATGAGCATTTCTATGTAATGTAACGTTCTTACGGATGGTACAACACAGGTAAATGTACCACGTTTGGTTCGTGAGAGAGTGAACACTAGAACATATTATATAGCGGCTCGTTATTCTGTTACAACAAGTAAATATTCACCTTTAAAGAAATACATTAGACTAATTAATACAGCCTTAAAAATTGGGCAATCTGCTCTCTTTGGATGCAATATTTGCGCGTCTATGACCAGCAACATTATTGCAAAAGACAGTACACATAGCTTTCTTATCTACACCTGTAGTAAGTCATCATCATCATCTCAGCCATAGGACGTCCACTGCTGAACATAGGCCTCCCCCAATGCTTTCCATGCTGCCCGGTTGGTGGCGGCCTGCGTCCAGCGCTTCCCTGCTACCTTTACGATGTCGTCGGTCCACCTTGTAGGTGGACGTCCCACGCTGCGTTTTCCGGTACGCGGAATCCATTCCAGAACCTTTCTGCCCCATCGGCCGTCAGTTCTGCGTACTATGTGCCCTGCCTATTGCCACTTCAACTTGCTAATCCGTCGGGCTATGTCAGCGACTTTGGTTCGTACTCCTCATTTCTGATTCGATCTCGCAAAGAAACACCAAGCATAGCCCTCTCCATAGCACGCTGTGCAACTTTGAGCTTCTGTATAAGGCCTATAGTGAGAGGCCACGTTTCCGAGCCATAAGTTATCACTGGTAACACACATTGGTATACACTCTAGTCTTCAGGCATTGAGGTATTTTGGACGAAAAGATGTTGCGTTGCGTAGTTTCCCGAACGCTGCCCAGCCGAATTGGATTCGACGTAAAAACGACGAAACATTTAGTTAACGTGGGACGATTATCTTGCGCTTCCATGATCAGTGGGCTGAGTGTGAGTTTAATTATTACTTAAAATGTATGAAAATTTCAGTTTTTGAAAGTTTCCCGCTAGGGGCGCTGTACAGTCCGTCATACATTTAATGTCATTTTGAGCGCGTTTGAAAAAAACTCACACTCGGCCCTCAGTTCTAGGTAATGCTACAGAAAAAATCTATTCAAGTGTTTAAAATTATACGATGTGTTCGCTCACAGACATCCCTACGCTGCGCTACTACTTCAACCTGGGCGTGGAGTGCATGTGGGCCGCCTACGGCCCGCCGCCGCCGCACCACCCGCCGAGACACTACTCGCCGCGCGACCTGGCCCAGGTACACAACCACTACATCTTCATTAGGTCATTTATACCCGTTTTCAACATCAATCCCTAATTTTAACTGACCCCTATGACTACAAAATGTATAAAATTATCACTTCACGGGATTTATTGCAACAGTATCTATTTTAACGGTAAATAAAATATTTACCCTCCCGACGAAAATATTTACCGTTAAAATAGATATTGTTGCAATAAATCCCGTGAAGTGATAATTTTATAGTAAAAATGCAACATAATAGTTTAAAATATTATACAATATGTATGTTATGTGTTACCATAGGGCTCACTTAAAAATTAGGTATTGTTGGTGAAAACAGGCATTAGTCTTACTAAAATAGTAAGACACGCGACGTTTGTTATTGAGTTACATTATGTACTCACGGCTTGACGTTTCGGCTGCGATGCTGCAGCCGTGGTCACAAACATTTGGTCTTCATTGCAGAAGCACGACCCCCTCTAATTTACCAGAATCAAATGGAGGATTTGTCCTACACTGTCCACGCTGGAAACTAGCCAACTACAAGTTGGCTTTATTATTATTCGCACTAGCACAGCGTTAGCTAACACCAGATTTACGTTTATAAGCCGAGGAATGCACTTTCCTCCCACGACGCTGGCCATTAGAGCCTCCGCTAAGACTTGCATGGGTGCAATGGTGCCTGCTCCGCGAGTTCGACGGAGGTATTCGCCGTGTGCCCGCTTATTAATGCACGGAAATGCACGCCCGTCACCTGTCACGCGTATGGACAGTTGTCACACGAATGGGCACTACACGCGTATGCGTGAGTTGTGGCGGAGGCACTAAAGTTTTTGGACGCTTTGACACCATAAGCTGGAAATTCATGCTTCCCTTAGTCCCGGTTTCTATCAAGGCGGAGTGGAGTGAACGCTGTTACGGCCAGCGTTTGTTTCATCAATGTTAAGTATACCTACCCTACATCTAACAGAAATATTGTTTAGAAACATTGATGAAACAAACGCTGGCCATAACAGCGTATTACACTTGAAAATTTCGACGGGTTCATCCAGTGTCTAAGTAGCTCAGTTGGAAGAGCAGTCGCCCGGCAAGCGGAAGGTCGTGGGTTCAATTCCCGCCTTAGGCAGTTCGATTTTTTCAAGTTATTTATAATTTTCAAATTAATTTGAGATGCGACTCTTAACGCTAAAAATTAAATAACTAAGTGTCGGACTGTTAAATTTTTCGGAGCAGAGAAATACATAATGAAAATCTGATTGGTTATTCAAAACACTTCTCTGCTCTTTTCCGCTCCGCTTCGCCTTGGTGAAACCGGGCCTTACCAATCACCGAGTTGCGTATTTTGCTAGCCTAATCTGCGTAGTCTCCGCATACATTGACAAATGAGACTTTTTCTTCCGCCACTTCTTCTCAGCACCAGCCCATATGTTGTCCCGAAGTGGTGGTAGGTAGCAAGCTATGTGTATTTGGGACGTGTATAAGTGCCCTGGAAAGGGCCTATGTACTGAATAAAATATTTGAATTTGAATTAACACTTGTTATCTCTGCAGGACATGCAGCAGATGGCGATCCACGACGGGCGCGCGCTGCCGCACGCGGGCGGCGAGCAGAACCACAAGCACGCGCCGCGCGACAACAAGCCGCCGCTCGCGCAGGGCAAGGGCGCGCAGCGGCCACTGCTGGGCCCGCGGTGAGTGGCCGCCTGCCATGAAGCGGCAATACAAATACAATGCGGCAATACGAACATTTTTGCTGTTTACCGTCAACGCCGACAATATCTATTCAACGGAGCAGCGGTCGGGCGTCATAAAAAAACGAGCGTTAATAGTAGTGCTGAACGGGTCATAATGGCATGTGTCGGTGCCGACGGCCAGCATTGACCACTAAAACAATATGACGGAGGTGGTTACCATGTCATCTCCGGCGATTCATAAGCCCGCCATACACGGACAGCTAGAAGCAGCTAGTGTCTGACAACTAGAAGCACACAAGTGTCTGACAGCTTCAAACTGAGACTGCATATCAAACTATAGTATTCTACGTACACACATACACGAAACTGCTCGAGCAGTCACAACAGCTTCAGTAGTTTAGCTCGAGCAGTCACAATAGCAAACTATGCAGTCGCATCTTGAAGCTGTCGATACTAACTACTGCTGCAAGCTGTCCGTGTATGGTGGGCCTTAGTACCCCTGCCCTGCAGTCATTCTGACTGCTACCGCTACCAGGAACAACGGGGCCACTGAAGACTGGAGGGCCTGGTCTCTACTGTACCTTTCATTTGGGGAGGAGGGAGGGGAGATTGCCACAACGCTTGCCAAACGGGTTGGCAAGCGTAGTTTTCTATTCTCTATCTATGATCGCTCACGCTGGCGCCACTATCCATCTTGTGCTATGCGGATAAGTCGACTCTTACACGACACGCCTTCTGTTGGTGGTGGGAAATTGTATTCTCTACTATAACCGTCCCCACATATTAAGCGAGGCAAGATTAAAACAACATGTTCTTATTTATTTTTTTGTTTCGCAGATTCAAGCGTGGTGGGAACAACCAAGATAACAACCAGACGAACAACCACAACCAGAACAAGGGGCATAACAACAACATGGGCAACAAGGGGCCTAACAACCGGTGAGTCATCATCTTCAAGTCATTTAGTCTCTGCTGTAGGAGGATAAGCTTCCCAAAAGATACTGCACTACCTAATAGATGCCGGATTCGGAGGTGAACTTTAAAATAGTGGCGATCTCAATAGCTCGATACCGGCTGTAGTAATACTAGGATTCCATTAAACTAGAATAGCCACACAACAAAAAAAAAACCTAATTGGCAAACTAAAGGCTAAATAGAGGATTTATTCTACATTCCTTATGCTAGCCAGTCGAGTTCGCCCTTTTACGACATCTATAATAAGAGTAAGGGTAGTCCTATTCTAGTGCCAGAACTTGGGGCTTCTTATTCAGTTGGTTTTAATCTTCTGAAGTCCTGTAATAAACTACCGTAAAGTTCTGAAGTGCTTTAATATAAATCCTAATAGTAATCCTCTCTTTCTCTCCATTGTTTTTGTACTTTTATTAGTTGTCAAATAAATATTTTTTCTTTCTTTCTCTTTCTTTTAGTACGTAAAGTTTTCTCTGTCCCTTTGAGCAATTTGGGCACGTGCCCAGGCCCCCGCGGGCCCCTCTCTGCTCAAAAGACCTTGATCCATAAGTGCCCAGAGCCCCTAGTAGGCATGTCCTTTAAAACGGACAAAAACCATTTAAGGGTTAAAGACGGCCTGAAATGGCAATGCCAGATTTTGTATGGAAGGTGGCGTCTTTTTTTTTTCGCGCGGCCATCGACCAAACTTTGTTTTTTGATTACAAAATGTGTAACAAACCAAACTTACTATGGCATGTATACTTCTAAACTCAGTCTGAACTGAGTTACGAGCATTAGAAGTTTAATTGTATTCATGTTTTCTCATTGTATACATTCAACCTCACGGGTGGGACCTGGAGTCCTGAAATACAGGGCTGCCCTAAGGCTCCAGTCACACCATTCTCTGTTCCTTCATAATGTATGTTTAATTCTAATTGTAACTTTAGATGTAATGTATAAGCCCTATAAGGTGTGAAAATAAACAANTCTGAACTGAGTTACGAGCATTAGAAGTTTAATTATTTTCATACTAGATTTGCTTTTTGCGCGCAAGTTTTGTAAGAAATTGCAACAAAATATTGCGCTATTTTTTTATTGCGCTGATTCTGCTGCATACTGATGTCTGGAGTCTTTAATGGATGGTATTGTTTGTTTACACATAAAATGTCATTATTTTGTTGCAATTTCTTACAAAACTTGCGCCCAAACAGCAAATCTAGTATGAAAATCATCAAACCTCTGATGCTCGTAACTCAGTTCAGACTGAGTTTAGAGGTATACATGTCATACTAAGTTTGGTTTATTACACTATTTTGTAATCAGAAAACAAAGTTTGGTCGATGGCCGCGCGAAAACAAAAAAGACGCCACTTTCCATACAAAATCTGGCATTGCCATTTACTCTGAAGTGCCATAATAATAAATGTCGTTATCTCCGCAGCCGCAACTCGCACATGGAGTCGCGCGGCTACGGGGCGGGCGCGGGCGCGGGCGACGAGGGCTGCGCGGAGCCGGCGCTGCTGCCGCTGCCCTACATCCCCTACCCGCCGCCCATCTACCCCATCCCCTACTACCCCATCGACTCTGATCCCGGTGAGTTTATATTTCTTTGTTCTTTTGGCTTGATTTCGTCCTATGCTGACATCAGTCGCGAAAGGTGAACAACCACTTTCTATGAAGCGTTGGGCCCAGTACTAAGTTTTTTGTACAGCTACAAAGTTTATGTCGTTTTTATGCCTTCATAAACTAGTTTATTATTGTGTTTATTTGGGGTTGCAAACTAATGTCATTCTCGAGAAAACTAAATTAGAAAAAACTAGAAAAAATGTTATTTTTATACAAAATCCAGTCGTCAGTTACCCAAATCGCAAGCAGAATCCGTTAGAAATAGCATAAAATGTTATTAATCGATAGTTTTATTTCTTCTTCTTCTTTTTTTTTAATTCAATTCAATTCAACAAGCATTCGCAACAGTCTCATCNGTCTCATCTGTGATTCGCAAGTAACATTGCTGCATTGACAGATGACAAAACGAATTATTTTCATTCATTAGTTCATTCAATCATTTTAGTTTTGTCATCTGTCAGTACAAACCTTCTTAAAGATCAAATACACTGAATTGTCCCACCCGTGACATTGACAGGGGGCGCCACCGTCAATACCGGATCGCTGGTTCCGATTTTTGCCATGTTTTCTAACATGGCAAAAATCCATGTCAATCTATATAGTTGAACGATGGTGGCGCCCCCCTGTCAATGAGTTTGGTGGGACAGTATAGTGTATTGAGTCTTTAATCGATTGACTTTTAACGTTCTATTTTACGTTATCTTAGATTAAATCATTAATTCGTTTTTAGTATTGTATACGACTTACGACATCAGTTAAAATTATCATTTTTACCGTAAAATACTCCCTAATGTATGCGTAATATAATATCAAAAACCTACCAATGTACAACTCTGTACAAACTTGGGCCCAAAATGGTTATTCTCCTTTCCTTCGCACACATACGTATGTTAGCCGAGTATTAAACGCGTAACCGACATTGGCGTCATAACGCATTGCCTTATATTTGTACGCTCGGGTGAGTTCGCAACGACGGCAGCGTGCGAGGATAACAAAAATACGTAGATGTTTGCATCAGTGCAGTGGCCTAATTCACGTATTTTTTTCACAGTCAACATCTCGCTGACTATCAGAAGTCGTCTCATTGAAAAACAGTTCTAAATCCGTATTCACAAGGGTCATTTTGATAGAACGATTACTCGATAGGATCGCAAATTCGCAACTCAGTGTTTTGTTGTCGTTTAAGTTGTTACGTGATTAAGAGTACAGGTGGAAAGCGTCCGAGTTGGATATATGTACCTAGTTTTAAACCTACAAAACCCTCTGAGATCTAGTGGCGAGAATGTTGCGATTCAATCGACTGAAAGTACTGGGTAGACTCTTAAGGTACATACAGACAGTACTTATCTTGGTTAACGGCAATGAAATGGTGGGATGGGAGGGGTAACATGTGACGTAACAGAGCTGTCACGGCATATCTGTCTGAAAAACGTCTGAAGTTTCGCTGACGTTTTGACATAACAACAAAAGCAAACTTCCGGACAGCTCCACTACCGCAGGAACATAATCAGCATATAGCTTATACTTTGTGTATTTATTTATTCACAGTTTAGTTGTATCAAATAATAAAGTTACGAGTTATACCACAGAATAATAATAAGTACTACGTACAGAAGTTTTACTTCGTGAAGGTATTTAAAAAAATGTATGCTCAATGTCATTAACCCTCGCTGTACGAGGTGGGGTGTGACACACCCCAGTACTTTAAAAATCGCCATAATTTTAAAAATTTGCAAGTGCTGAATTTGAAATTCTCAGTAGCTGGAATTATGGCGCTGCTGCTTCGATCAGCGTTGCAAAATCAGTCCAGCGGTGACTACCAACTGAGTTACATGCCTTTAAAGTGCGTGAGGGTGTCACACACCCCACCTGGTACGGGACGTTGTTAAAAAAGTTAAAAAATAATCTAACAGTTTTGGTATAATTTATATATTTTTAGCTTTGTTAATAGAATAAAACTCAATACAAATAATATTTTTCGTGATTTTCACGGAATCTGAAATTTTCAAGCACTTTTAGTCAAATGAGATGACTTTTAGTGCGAATCTGGAAGTTTAGTACTGAGATCCGATGATGTATGTGAACATACACTTATAGGCTACAATTTATACTTGGTGATACAATTTATGGACTACTGAAATGGAATAGCATATTTTATAAATAAATAAAATTGTTACGCTCCCATTTTATGCATTGAGCATACTCATTTTCTTTCATCAGAATTGTAGTAAATTGAAAACCGATAATCAAAATAAATTTATACCCTTCCAGTTTTTAATTTACTTTTAAATTATAAGTAAATATCTTATACTTTGTTAAATAAATCGGTTGTCATAATTAAAGGCACTAATTAAAAATTATACATAAGAAACTGATTTCTAAATTACAAGAACAACGGAAATTGTGTCTTTTTGTTATTTTATGATAAAAATGTCATAATACATATTTTCAGCTCAGAGCTTTTCATACACCTAATTAGAATACGTAAATAATCAATATTAAATATTAAATTCCACCTAAAAAAAATTTCAATGAAAATTTTATCACTTTGTATATTGGGGTATGTCATACCCCACCTGGTACGGGGCGTAACTTTTAGTCACCTCGTACACGGAGGGTTAACATTAAGGTGTAATTTAGCCTGTCTCAAGAGTCAAGCACCATTTTGTTGACAAACGTCAGTTATCGGCACTGCGCCGAAGTTATAGTGCTGATTTCGGTAAAGCGTGCGTGAGTCAATGTTCGCTCGTATGTGAGGCCTTGTCGAATAGTATCCTGTAGGTGGGCCATCGTGCGTGTTTTGTTTTCGATGTAAACCCGCGGAGATGAACAGGCCTGGTTATACATAGTAACTAATAAAACATGTATTTGCAGCCATGATGGGCATGATGGGTGGTATGGGCTACGTGGGCTACGAAGAGGGGGTGGAATACGCGGCGCCCATCCAGTACTACCCGCCGCACTACCCGCCGCCGCCGCACCACCCGCCGCCGCACCATCCGCAACATCCGCAACACCCGCAACACCCGCCGCACCACCAGGACAACAAGTGAACTGTCACTGTCAATGTCACTGCTAGACGCTGCTCTTGAGTTTATGCTTACGGATTTTTAGTTAGGTTACGAAACAACGCACAAAATTCGATTTAAGTTCCGCATTTGCGCGGCGCGACACGAAGCGTCGAACTATTCTTTCAGTCATTTTTGTATGTCGCGTTATAGCGGCGCTGCAATGAGCGTAGCATGGGTGCTTACGAGAGAATATTTCGATTTGTGCCACGTAGCGCCGCGCAAATGCGGTCCGACCTATAATCTCGGTCATAGATTTTGTGCTGTAATTAGGGTTTTCGCGAATGAAAGATCCGCTAGATGGCGGGACGTGGATGTGGGGTCTGACTGCTGCGTGATTGGTGGATTTTGACATATCTGTCAATGTCATGTCAAAAATAACCAATCATGCAGCATTTGGACCCCGCGTCTACGTATTGCCATCTGGCGGATTTTTCATTCGCGAAAACCCTCATTGGGTTGACATTCAACCTATCAAGTCTCAATCTATGATTGATATTGAATCGAGTTTTCACCGTTGTTTTGTAATACACTCATTAGTTACGCGCATTCTGAACTGAGTGTCTGACAGACCGCTACCGTCAAAAACGAATTTTATCATCCCTTTTATTAGTCTTGGGATATTGAGATTGTGTATAAATAATCTCGGTATCCCGATAATGTAGATGTTAACTAAAATAAAAGATAATGATTCTTCTTCTGGATGTAATGATAATGAGAACATAATGAAAAACTTCAATCTGACACAAATAATTATTTAAGTCTAAAAAGTGTTCTTAAAAGTAAATTCTTTGTGCTAACTTCTATTCTAAAACTAATTGATCAAATCAAAAATAACAAGTCAATTCATACAAATGCATAAATTATACTGCGGTTTTCTACCGCCTACGGTAATACGGTAAGCGGTCTGCTTACAGCTTCTAACGAATGCTGCTAAACTTGAAGGCTGTAGTAAATTGAGGGAAGATAACGAAAAAATTTTAAAACCTTTTTCTTCCTGCAGTCTTCCCGTAATAAGAGAACGCATTTGCGTTGCACTAGTTCAGAATGCGTGTGTCATAATTTAGTTATAATAAAAAAACTGTTTTGATCTTATCCGAAGTTATTTTATTGAGTTTCACATTGTTTGTTTCCTTCTATCACATGTCGAAAGGCTTGTGACAGAAAGAGAGATATCAAAGTAAAAGTTGTTATAAACTGACTATCATATTACGATTGATTTAACCACTGCACACTGGTCTGTTATAAAAGTAATTTTTAACAGACTTCAAAAAAAGGAGGAGGTTCTCAATTCGACCCGTATGTTTTTTTTTGGAATGAAGATAATTTAGACGAAACAACTGCGTAGTCAGTTTATTACGATCTATAACAGCTAAGTTACTTCTTCATCATTAAAATAAAAGTACATCACATATACTTCAATTAGTTAATTATACATTTAAATAATGTAATCATAAACTCAACGAATAGTGTCGAACTCAAGATGATTTTCATTTATTGAACAACACTCCACACTACACCACTTCAACTATATCGACAATTGAACATCTAGAAACGTAATGCTCACTGCGCCAAGTCGTTAATAAAGAGGGGTCTGGCTCTAGCATTTAAAGTTAATTTGAAGTGGTGTAGTTGTGGTTGAAAAGTTCATAAAACAGGTTACCGATTGAAAACACCCCTGAATTGCAAACTACTTTGTCAATATGTGAACTGTTTTAAAAACTTAATTACGTCGCTATTATGAAAAGTTTAACGTCAGCATCACGCAAAACTCGGGGTGTATTCAGTCGGTATCCACCTTAACATTAGGCGATTGTTTTGTAGTTACAATTAGCTCAAACCATTTTAGATTTAATTAAAAATTCATTAATGTAAAACGACCAATTTTTAAATTAGTTAAGTTAAAATAAGTACACCGCTATATTTTATGCATTTACATTCTCTAAGTAAATAATTATTAAAAAGTTTATCGCATAATGTTGTGAAAACAGTCGCCTTTTGTCTATTCCTTTGGTAACTGGATCTTTTCGGTTCAGTTGTTCAATACAACGACTACGCTCAACGAAAACGGTATACGATTTAGGTAATTTCCCTCTGACCGATATTTTACACGTCGAGAAGTTTCACGGCTTTCCCGTCAGCGGGGGGTTACCCTGTGCCGTGTGTGGCGCACTACGCATAGTGTGTACGTTGGTCAATTATTCCGGCAATAATAAGTCAAAACTTTACTTACAAAATTTACCGAAGATTAAAGTAGTTTCGTAATGGATCACACACGGCACAGAGCCACGCGATATTATTATACGAAAAAAGAGTATACATATTGACTTGTAATTAGTCGGTGTTCCCTGGCGCTCCCGCCCGTGACGTCACGGGCGGCCCGCTGGGCGCGTAGTGTACTTACGGAGAGACGGCCGCCGGGCCCGCGTGCGAGCGAGTAGCACCCATGTCACATTTGGACTGAGCTTTGTGCCCTTTTAGAGATTTTTGAGAGATGTTCGGTGAAAATATTGAAAGTATTCTAAGTGTTCATTGGTGCTGCGAATACGTAGACGTACAGGGTTTTCGAAATATTTTTGTATGGATTGGCATTATACATACGTCGCGTAGTGTAGGCGCTGTATATCATTCCTTAATCTAAGGTGAAATTGTAAATTTTAAGCCATCGTAATTATGTAGGTTGTACGTCGCAAATTTAAGTTTCTATAGGTTCGCCCGTCGCCCAGCGCGTTCCCTCGCTTGTGCGCTCGCCGCCGCGAGTCCTACTGGGCCGCCCCGCCATAAACACGTTCACCGCGGCAAGTGCAAGCAGGCTTAAACTTTTCTCATCAGTTCCTAATGAATAATTCCTATTCAAATATTCCTATTAAATGTTACAATATTTTATTCCCTATCCCGAAGTCAATTACGCGACCCGGCACCCGCGCGCCTGGGCGGCGGGCTTAGCATTCAGCTTACGTTAGTTTAGTTAGTGATAAGTCTGATTCACTCGTTACGAATAGTTTGAGCCTACGATCTCATCGTCTCGGCAACGACCTTCCGAATCTCGCAGACGACGCGCATCGTGATTAACGTTATGTTATGTTATGTTTAACGTTATGTGTCCTAGTTTGATCTCAACGCAAATTATCCGCGACAAGAATCCTTGGTGCTGGGTAGTCTTTATTTTGTAGTGTTTGGAATTAACCTTTCTTTTAATTTTAAAATGCGAACAGCTGACCTAGTCTTTGCATTTAGAGCCAATCCGAGACACGCGGGAGAAACTACAGGAGCGCAGCACTTGTATGTAGTAGCCAGTAATTCGTGTATATCTATACTAGGAACAAACTTTGTCTATGTGTGTTGTAGTATGCATATAAAATAAACACTTCTAAACACCCTCCCTCTTCTATTCTCAACTTTCACATATTATTTTGTTTGTGGGAAAAGAAAAGAAAAACATTTGGCGTGTGAATTAAAATTGGCTGTGATTCGCTTGTAATCTCAGAGCTTGCAAGGAATGGGCGACTTCGCGGCAGTAGCTAGGTTGCCATAGTCGTAGCGTAACAAAATTTTCGAGTTTAAAATACTATATTTACTTACAGCCGGCCTCTATTGGTCGGCGCATCTGACTTTTGAAACTATCGATCCGCCCATGATTTTTGATCCATACTTTATATTCCTGCATATGTATGACATATATGTATTAAGTATATATTTAAACGTAACGACTACGTAACGAAAACTTGATTGTTTGTACAAAGCGTTGTTTAAAAAAGAAAAAATGTAAAAAAAAAATAAGATAAGTGTACTCTCCAATATATGTGTGATGTAATGTAAAGTCAATTTTATTTGTTCAGTATTAGTTTTAAATCACTAGGAGTTAGAATTTATGTTAGCCGTTAATTAATGTTTATGTAAACATAGTCTAGAATTACAATTTTTAGAATACCGTCAGTTACTTTACATCTCGTCACGCGCGAAGACGCCGCATTTATGTTCCCGTAGAGTTAGACGTTTGTGCCAATTCGAAAGTTTTAATAAATTGGCAGTGTATCAGACCAATACGACCCGCCTGCCAAAGAACAAAATTATTGTTGTCATATCACCATTTACATAGTAATACAATAATTGTGTTGTGAATATACTAATGTACGGATAGATGTATCTCTTACTATATGGTTGTACAGAGCTCAAAGTTAGCGTTGTGTCCGCCTTTGAGATGTTATTTGTAATTTTTTTCCAAATTCCATCAAATAAAAGTCAACTGATTTTGATTTACCTGTGTTTTATTTCAATTAATTTAGTTTTCCTTTCCTTATCGTCAGAATCTAGTTTAATCAATTGATAAAAATCATTTGACTTTACATTTAATAAATATTACCACCATCATCGTGAATATAGCTACATTTTCTTTTGTTGAAAAGTGAACTTAGGCTCAAATGCTTTAAAAACACTTTTCCTCTGAAAACCGGTTTCAACTCTTGCGCAGTCAAGCAATATTTTCCTTTATGTCAAGCACCAACAAAATGTCACAAGGACGCTTGATTGTTGACGTTTGCAACAACATAACCTAACAAATTGATAAAGATCAGAATATAAGAAGAACAATTAATCAAGTTTCTTCACTTCATGAAGTAACAGTTACATAAACCTGGTTCACGGTACGTTATTACAAGATTATTT